AATATTCAAAACATGTGAGCTAAACCTTCCGGAACTCGATCAAGCGACATTCGAAGCACGACAAGCAGGCACCCCAACGATGCAGACACACTCGACCGCCATGTTTGGGGCCCTCGGAACTCAGCGCGCTGAGCTAGGGCAGAGGCCGTTGCTGTCTTCGGCGAGATAAACCTCGGTTGGAGGCGTCTTTGATGGGCTAAGATGAGCCTCTGAGGCAAAGTTGCACAGCTTTAAAAGATGTGGTGTGTCAAGGTGTCCTCTCAAAACTTCCTCCTCAGCTCGGGTGCTTGTAACTGCCACTGTGGCAGGCCAGGTCTGGTTTGAGGTTAGCAGAATTCGACCCGACGTGGCTCGCCTCGTAATCGGTGACCTCGCTGAAGTCGCTGGGGTTCTTCCAGGATAGCACACCGCCGATTTCAAACTGATCCAAATCCTTGGATTTCGATATCTTAGAGCTTGGGTGAAGGAATGTTGTCCCAGCTTAAGAGTTTGCGTTCACTCTTCGGGTGAGAATTACGATCATGCCTGCCTAAGAAGGCGGCTATTTATTGTGATGATAGCTGCATGGTGCGAACTTAAGGTGCCTGCAGACTGAGCAAACTCAGATTCGGCATTTTGCCTGCAACAACTTATGATCCTCTTAGATAAGTAGCTGACACTTGCTCCGGGAACCTCCCCAGCTGACAAATCATATGTATCCCGAAAGAGGAGACAGTTCGCCTGAACTAGTATGGCCGGGATCAGCTCTGCTCACTCAGCCGCAAGAACTCACAAGTACTAGTTACTGGTTGGCGATATCTTGCGCCACATTGTGAGACAGGTTGTTGCACCGTGCCGCACGAAGAACCTAAAACAATGCACATTATGCTATGCGGCTTCCGAGGTGCCACTTCCACTTCACATCACCGCGACATTTCACGGGGACAAGGAACTTTCTGAGCACATGAGTGTTGAATCGATCATACGTGCCCGCTCGGCAAGTCTTCAACGGCTGGCGTGTCAATCGCTAAACCTGTCTGGATGTTCATCGCAACAATTGCATGCCAAGTACAGGTATTGAATGAACAACAGCATTGTGAGTGAACGGGTTCCCGGGGCGGCATGTTCTTGTAAAGCAGCACACCATACTTGAAAAGGACAGTTGGAGGAATAGTCGCAGGTGTTTTGGTCCAGGTGTCCATCAACAGAAACCACATGTCTGCGTGTGTGTGTGTGTGCGTGGGGTGTTTCATGTGTGCCGGGCGAACCCATTTGGCGTGGGAGCGATCCCTTGTCGGAGCCGGAAGCCGGTGTGTCAGTGTGTCGTAGGGCATGTTCAAGAGCCATTGCCGTTTTGGTGTGGCTTGAAGTGGGCTTTCTATGCAACACGGAAATCTATCCCCTGCAAACCATGGGATATACAGACCTGTTGGATGATGCAGCCGTCGGCGAATTTCGAGTGTTGTAATGCAACAGGCGGGTAAGGGAGACTCATACAACTCTGCCCCACGAAGCTCTCTGTGAGATCTCAGCTTGGCCAACTGGACAAAGCTGCCATTCGGAGTCGGTGCAACTTGAGGAGAACAGCCTACTTCCAAATTATCTCTGCTGAGCTTGCAGCTGAGTACAGTGACAACAACAGCCACGAGAGGAGATTTTGCGACGGAGTGTGAGCGTGTGCGTCTCTATCTCTCTTTCTCTCCCTACCAGGAGGGGAGCACAGGGTGGTCCTACCCTGCACTCCGCGCGCGACCGCGCTCGTCGTCCTCGGGCTATGGGCTGTTTCCATAGGGAAGCAAATAGTGTAAAAACTCCCCCCCACAGACAGTTTCCGCAGGCAGGGGACGCAACAACTGAAGGCAACTGGCAGAACGCGTAAGGCTGCGGCCACATTTGAACTCAGGTTGCGCGTCCCCGTACCAATGACGGGCTCGAAAAGAGAAGGGGTTGAAGGCAAACCATGTTTAGTTCCCCGCGAGCTCGTCAAGCCCGCTTGTTCGATTTCGAATTAGGGCCTTCAAGTCCCCCGAATTCTTACCACTGGTCGCCTCAGAAAGGTGCGTTGAAAAGAAGCCCGGATTGAAGGCCAGTATGGGCCTGGTGGAGTGAGCTGTTTAAAGAATTTACACCTTAAGGATCAGTACGACAACTCTGAACGTACGACATGGTACAGAATGCATGCCCAATAAGTGCGACAAAGGTTTCCGGGGTCCCCCTGTAGCAAAGCAACACAGCGAACAATAAATCGTGCAGAACGAAGGATGGGTGGATCCCCCGGTTGTGTTGGGAAACTATGGCATGGCAATGTCAGTAATGTCTTTGGGTATCAACGAAAGTTTTGTGGGACTTCTCAAGGCAAGCAGTACAACAGTAAATTAGTAGTTTTCCCACATGTAACAAGTTCGCTCTCCCGGAATTTTCTCCGCATGCCTCTCACTATTGTGCTCCTTCACATCGTGTTGGCGCTCCGCATATGCCGTTGTGCCTGCTGTATTGCGTGCCACATAGGCCCAGGCTGTAGGCTTACTTTCCCCCTTCCTGGGCTGCGGTTCGGTGAGCGAGGTCTCTGTGCGCCCTCAGAATTTGGACTTGCACGGTCTGAGGGGAATCCTTCTTCCCCCCATGGCCAGTTGGTCTCATGTGGAGGTACATCAGGTGACGAGATCACCGAATCGTCATCGATGCCGACGTGGCCTCCCCCCATGTCTTTGGATGAAGTTGGCAAAGCTTGTGGCTCGGTGTCCATGTCGCTAGTCCACGTCTTCTTGGTCTGGGTCCCCCGCCGCCGTCTCGTCTTGTTGTGTGTTGTTGTCTTCGGCTAGGTCCGCCACTTCCATGGTGTCGTGCTTCTTGGTCTTCTCCTTGTTATCTTTGTTCTTTTTCTTCTTCTCCTTCTTTTTGTCCTTTGCCACCTTCTTCGGGTCGTGGCGCAGCTTGGCAGTCTGGGTGGAATCGCCCCCATGCCGCTGCTTCCTTTCCAACATTGACTTGTTCGGGTTGATCTTTGCCATGGGCTTAACTTGCTCATCGGCTTGCCCCCCCCCCCCCTCTGTCGCCTCTCCTTGTGCCTCTGCAAGCACCCTTGGAAGTCCTCGCTCTCCACAACCGTGAGCGCGTCTCCCGTCGTCGGGTCCACATGTTGTTGCTTCTTGCTGTCCCACTTGTACTCTTTGCCCATCCACTTGTCCAAAGGATGTGGCTCGTACAGGAGCGCTAACCCCCCGTTGTCTCAAACCGCACGCAGTCTGCAAAAGGTCGGCACTTGTTTGTCGCCTTTTTCTCCTCCCCCACTGGCTCGGACACGGTTGCACGGGATGCGGTGGCCTCCCCCTTTTTTCGCATGTCCTTGACACTTGCTGGGCTACTGGCCTTGTAGCAGGTCTCCGCTCCGTCGTGGGGTTTATGGTACCAGGGGCCTTGTAAGCAAGCCCTGCAGCTCACCCCAATCTCTCAGAGACGCTCGGCTAGCTTGGTTTGTTCCTCCCAGGTCGTTTTCACCTTCGGAGATTTTGCATCGGGGAACCTTCGTCCTCTCCCTCCACGGCCTCGTCCGAGGCTGCTCGAACTCGCCATTGACGTCCCCCTGGTTGTTCTGGAGGATTACTTGCGATTCCACAATCAAGTTGTATGCTCCGTCCCCCGACTAGAGGGCCACCTTCCGAAGAAGGGCTTCGTTCAGGTTCGCGAAATGCTCGAAAGGGATTGGGGCCTCTCAAGCAAAGCGGCAGCGGAGGCGCCCAACTACAGGTGGGTGTAGTATTTGAAACGAGCATAGATTTGCCAATGACTTAAGTCATATAGTGTACGATAACGGACATAGGCAAGTCGTATACTCTCGTTGGACACATGCACAGTTTGCTGAATCAGCTTGAAATTATGGTGGTCCAGTTTGCACTGTTTCTTGAATCCTTACAAGTCGGATTCCCCGGTTTTACAAGTCAACATGATCGAGGTTTTGGATTCAAGAATGGGTTTCAGGAGAGGAACATACACAACCAGCTCTCTCTCTCTCTCTGTCTCTGTCTCTGTGTGTGTGCGGGAGTGTGAGAGTGTGTGTGTGTGTGTGCGTGTGTGTGTGTGTGTGCGTGTGCGTATATGTGTATGTGTATGTGTGTGTGTGAGCGCGTGAGCGTGTGTGCATGTGTGTGCATGTGTGTGCATGTGTGTGCATGTGTGTGCATGTGTGTGCATGTGTGTGCATGTGTGTGCATGTGTGCGCGTTCCCAGGCCTGATGCCGGAGCTTCAGCAAACTAGGCTCCGCGCATTTGCTCGAAATGACTCTCAGTGAAAGGATATCTCAGTCACACCCTAAACCCTAAACCCTAAACCCCACCTGCCGGTGCATGGGGCCCGCCTGTGAGTTCGTGGGAGAGAGGTCTTCGAGGGCACGGAGCCTTGCGCAAGAAACTGCCCTGGAGACTACTTAGCAATGGGTTTTGCTGTTTTAACAATGTGTATACATGCGTATACATACATATATACATATATACATATATACATATATACATATATATATATACACACGTGCATCTATATATATATATATACTCATCTGCATAACAAGACAAACATGTAACATGTACGATGTGTCTATATACATATGTATATATATATATGTATGTATGTATGTATGTATGTATGTATGTATGTATGTATGTATGTATGTATGTATATTATATATATGTGTGTGTGTGATTGTCACATTGTATATATGTTTGATCGAAAAAACTGCAAGATGCTTCACATGTACTTCGCAAGGGCTTGCGGATTTTTCAGTCGCCTTCTTGCTGCAAGGGCCGGGCACGGGGCACCTTCCTCCCCTGACAGCACGCTTGTCTTAGCAAGAAGGGCAACAGTCTCCCAAAGGAGTGAAACCCAAGTTGACAGGCACGAATGAGGAAATCCTCCCATGCCATCCGAACACTGCCACAACCATCATTACGAATACAACGAATTAATCAAGGGCCTGAAACGGACCACCATGACATGCCTCTTTTGAGGTCGATGGAGATTTACCCATCTATGCCATGGTTTTCTGCTGCGGAATGTCAGAACCGTAGTCGCCGAGCCCCTTGAAGCCGTGCATTCCTGTGAACTTGGCCAGCAGAGCCGGCATGAAAACGGCTGGCCCTTCACCTTCGGGAGGACTGCCGCAAGTCCCACAGGCACCGGAACAGCCAGGCAAGCAGCACCAACAGCAGGGGGGAGGGCAAAATGGATAGCCTCCGCCACACGGGAGACAGCAGCAGACATGCGCTGGTCCCGGAAGTCCAGACCAAACCATATATCCACCAGGACCGTGGCCCATCTTCACATTCATCGGATGAATGCTCTCCTTGGGAGGAACAAAGGCTTTCGCCGGTTTGCCGTCCACGATCTCAAGAGCCTGCTTGGCACAATGAGTAGCTGCTGCACTGACGATGATTGTGACCGGGTGGCCAACCAGCTTCTTGTTCGTCACGTTGACACCCAAGACTTCCGGATGGGCAGAAGACTGCATGCACTCGTTGACAAGCATGGTGCCTCGTTCGAGGGTAGCAGGTCAAGAACAATAGATCAGGACATAATCAAAAACCAATTAGGCCAGGATCTGATGATCTGATGGTGCTAAAAGGCAAGAGCAGCTGCAGCAAACTTAGCAAAAAGTAGCAAAAGAGCTTTAGCCATCCGGCGCTAGTTCAAATCGCAGCAATAGACTCAGCAGTAGCAGGCAGTAGCAGCAGCAGCTGAAGAGTTGTGAGCGTAGAGCGCCTGCCAGGAATTGTAGTAGTAGAATCAGAAGTAGTCGAGTGGGACTATCAGTAGTAGTAGTAGTAGTAGTTGTAGTTGTAGTTGTAGTAGTAGTAGTAGTAGTAGTAGTAGTAGTAGTAGTAGTAGTGGAAGTAGCAGGAGTAGTAGTAGCAGGAGTAGGAGTAGTAGGAGTAGTAGGAGTAGTAGGAGTAGTAGGAGTAGTAGTAGTAATGGAAGTAGCAGGAGTAGTAGTAGCAGGAGTAGGAGTAGTAGCAGTAGTAGAAGTAGTAGGAGTAGTAGGAGTAGTAGGAGTAGTAGGAGTAGAGGAGTAGTAGGAGTAGTAGTAGTAGTAGTAGTAGTGGTGGAAGTAGCAGGAGTAGTAGTAGCAGGAGTATGAGTAGTAGGAGTAGTAGGAGTAGTAGGAGTAGTAGGAGAAGTAGTAGTAATGGAAGTAGCAGGAG